AATGTGGAGTGCTCACACAAACATGAAGTCGTGTGAAGAAAGAAATATAATGAGCTTTATAGCCCAATAAATGTCATATATATGAAACATAAACATACAGACTGTTTCATTCTGCCTTTTAAGGATACATATACGTATATGAGCAAATGGATTGTTCCAGCACATTGCTCAACTTCAGCATTACCATTCAGTGCGAAGTTTCCTATGTGAATGGTGCCCTCTACAGCATGAGTCCAGAATACAACATGAATGGTGCCCCCTGGAGGTGTGCAACATGGGATCCCTGAATACGTAAAATGGCTCAGAAGGTAATAGATTAAATACACTGGAGTAGGGAACTATTTTGGTAGTAATAAGTGAAATGCGAGTGGAAATAGGGAAGGAAGGGTAACACGAAGTAAAATAAAGAAGATAGAAGAGGGCTCTTACACAAATGGAGAGCTTCTCATTCAATGCGACCTGAATGAAGAAATAGGGTCTACTTAATTCTCTGGTCTTAAGGAAGGTGGGAGAAGGGTGGACCTGGGGAAGTGGTCTTGACCTGGATAACCATCAACCTTGTAAATCCTGTTAAGAAATGTGGATTTTATTCTGAAAGCTGTGAGGAATCCTGGAAGTGTCTGAAACTCTTGCATGGGGACAGATGAGAGTGCCAGAAGCTGGAACAGTGGTCCTTCAAAGCAATCCATGCTAGGTCTCCACAGGTGCAGTGGAGTCAGTGTAGCCAAAGATGCTCTCAGTCAGGTGTGCATGCCTACCTCCATGAGCACAGGGGTCCTTAGAAGGCCAAGCACTCCCTCCCTTGAGACCCTTCCCTGATCCTCCTGTGCCCAGAGGCTCAACCAGAAACAAGACCCAGTTAAAAGTGCTGTGGACAGCTCCAGCCCACCATGGTTGGTATCACTTTCCAGATGTGACTGTGAATAGTGCGCAGCTATCTGTTTTGATGGCCAAAGATTCCACGTTGTTAACTGACTATGCACCTGTGCCCTTGGAGCATTCAGTCAAAACTGAATGTTGATACACAGGATATTAATATTTTGTGAGAAATTTTTTCCATTGGCAGAGACTTTACTTCTCACAAAAAGATGACCAGATGTTAACATAGGAAATTATCTTTCTTTTGCCTTTTTCTAAATCCCCACCTGGTAGATATTTATTGGTTCTATGATTTTGAGAAAAATCATTCCACCTCCTTGGTGGAAATACTCCATGGAACGAGACTTGATAATCTCCTGAGGCCCTTTCAATGTCAACATTCTGGGGCCCGTGAGGAATCTTTTTTCTGGGTATGCCAAATACTTCCTGGGTATAATATAGCAAATTGGGCATAGGTTTAAGAATCAGGCTTGGGTTGGAATACCGCATCTGCTACTTACCAACTGGATGACCTTGGTTTCTTTATCTGTAAAATCAGAGGTTAAAAGTTCTGTCTCATAAGATGAATGAAGAGACAATGCATGTGAAAACACGTAGCACAAGGATCTGGCATTCGGAAAGCACCCAACAAAAGATAGTTCCTCTCCCTTCCCTTCTGTTTATGAGAACATGTTTCACAAACATTTTCAGAACAGAAATTTTACAAATTGTCATGATCAAATTTTCCATTTTCAAGAATTTAAGGATGAGCTCGGATGTAGTAATATATAGAGAAATTCCTAGAAAAATCTAAAGTGTTAATTAGAGGTTATTAATAAACAAGTGGGTTTGTGTATTTATTTTGATTTCGATTTCATTTTTGATAGGGGTAGGTAGAGAAAAGCACAAAATCAAATACGTTTTATGACATCACCTTCTAAGCATAACCTTTTCTGTTAGACTCAAGATGAAAAAAGATAATGAATATTTTCTTTTTATAAGTCTGGTTCTTTTATTTGTTAATCCCTTTAATCTCACTTCTGTGGTATTTTTGCCCCTCCTGCTCAGACAGCTTGTCAGCTGGCTCTGACATAAAACAAGATAACTATTACTAAGCAGTGCTCAGGAAAGGCAAGGAAATGGGAAGGCGAGAAGGTGCCATGTCCTCTTAATGCTTCTGGTATAATGACCTGCCCTTTCCGTTGAAAGCATATTTTAAGTCAGTCAGAATTCTTTGTGGATTCCTGGGGCTACGAAGAATTAATTCACTAATTTTGATTAATATATTTACTAACCAAAATATAACATCTAATGAAAGCCAAGGAGTGGTGAAGTAGGCACTGTCATGCATAGTGAACTGTAATTAGAACAAATCTTTTGAAAAGCAATTTGGCAACTAAGTATCAAGCTTTTAAACATTTGTATTCTTTGGGAATTCTCTTTTTGGGAACCCATCTTATGGGGGGGTCTTATCAGGGAAGCATACATGCACAGAAGCTTATCACAGTGTTTTCTTATGTTGGTAAATGAATATTGGGAACAACCTAATAACAAGAGAACAATTAATTGCACTGTGGTGCATCCAACAGATGGATGGAGCCGTTTACAAGAAGTCTGAGCATAAAAGCATATACACAGTCTCATTAAATTATTTATTTTTTAAAATAAGCAAAATATGAAATATTCATAATTCAAAAGGTCTGGAAGAAAATGTACCAAATTTTGGTAGTGATAAGTTTTTGATGACATTTTGAGTAATTTTTATTTCTTTTTACTTCTGTTGTTTTCAGGTCTATAGTAAGGACTATAATGTATAACTTTTCTAATTAGCAAATCATCATCATCATCATCATCATCAATCATCATCATCATCTTGTTTTATAAGGAAGTAAACGGAAATGCCAAATGGAATCTTTGGTTTGGTTAGATGGCCCAGAATTGGATAATTAAGACCAGAGACACAATAAATTATATTAATTCCAAAAAAAGGATGGGGCTGGTTGGTGAGGAGCCTGCTCTGCTCTGCTCTCTCCTCCCCAGGATTTGTTAGGCTTGGAGACCAGGAGAGGAGTTACTTTTCCCAAGGGCACTGAAATTGTGGTGCTGGTGCATTCACTGCTACGCATTCATTTTCATTTACCGCCATAATGATCATTTAAAAAGTGAATAAAATGTTTTAAAAGTCTAGCATTTATTAGCCACTTTCTAGGCATAGGCATTGTTTTGGTGCTTTTTATATCCATAATTCACCTTTCTCAGGCTTGCAAAAACTCTTAGTAAATGGAACTATTAACTCCTTTCTTTTCTCCTCACCTGCTCTCCTTTCTCCTACCTACATAGAATATTTTGGGAGGATATAATCGATCTGAACGAAAGAAAAAAAATGGGCAGACTGGGCTGCCTTTTGTTATTAAAAAAAAAAAAAAGCCTGCTGGGTGCCTGAAGTGTTGACTGGAGAGGCATCTACAGGTGGCCAGCACAGAAAGGTTCTGGAAAGAGCGCCAGAAAAATCCCACAGGCCTTCTCTCTGTGATGTGGCTTATTTGCTTTACAGGCTTCAGGCATATTTGCTGACGTCAGCAGTCTGTCAAAGTTTAAAATAATAATAGTGAAAAAGAAAACAGCCCCTTTCTGCTAGGCAGCTCTGTTCTGCCAACTTCTGTGTTCTCTTCTGAGTTAATAAACGTCCAAGAATCACCTCCCCTACCACCCTGGGGAGGGGAAAAAAAAATACAATAATTTAAAAACCACTAGGTCAGCCCATTGCCAGCATAAACCATTCAGACAAGTAGCATTTGTCACACTCTAATGAGGATTTTACCTCTACGTCAAAAAGAGAGTTATTATTGGGCTTTGTGTTTATGGGATCAAATGATTGTCTAAGGACAGTGGGTTTCTTTCGGTCCCTTCCTCATTTTAATCACGCTCAAGACCAAATACATAGATGTCTTCTGCATCAGATGAAACTAAAAAAACCATAATTATGCCAGCTAATGTATCTTGAAAACATCAATTAAGAAACTGGCTTTTTAATTCCCATTTTACTTGAAAATTTGAAAATATCCATGTGTATTGTAATAGCATGGTGGTGGCGGAGGGGGACTGACTCTCAAAAAGGGACAGCCCACATGGCTTGAGGATGTCAGGTGAGCAGGCCCCCATCAGCAAGAAGCAGAAAAATCTCTCCAAGGAAAGAAATTTCTCTATAAAAGTGGACCTCTTAAGTTATCTTCACATGCAGTGTTGAAATTGGAGCCAGCCTCTCCTCAGTTAGGTTGATACCAGGCTTCTGCACCAGGCTGGCACCACACACACACCCCATTGTTAACACCTCCTCCGGACAGATTAGATCCCACATTCCTCAGAAGTACGGAGCTCCGGAGGGAACACTGCCAGCAAGCTCCTTCCACACAGGCAACAACCAGCTACAACTGATAAGTTTTCATTGAAATAACTGGAACCATTACACTGAGTTCCCACCAGGGCTCTGTCTCCAGCTATCCAGAGAGAGGTGTTGCACTTGCTTCTGGCTTATGCAAAGGCGTGAGCCAGACAAGAGCAATTCAAATAGAGTCGTTAGCTCACTTTTATATGCTTTTATCTATGGCTATGTGCTATTGTTAATCAAATTGTTCACCCAAGGTATACTATTAGATTTGTTTTATTATATCTTTTCTTTTTTCAGGCCTTATCTGGTAAACCCTGATCTTTACACTATCTCAATTTTTGGTTTGCACAAGTAACTAATTTCTGACCAAAGATACTGAAGTTAGATATGGTTTTGGATAAAATCTGTTGAGGTCATGGTTGGTTTTAATCATATAGATAGCTCAGTTCAAAAACTGAACACTAACAAAGAGCTTTGCTTTCAAGTTTTAGTTTCAACAAGAGTGCTCATTAAACAGCAAATTCAGTTGTACTTTATTTGAATTCTAGAACTTCCTTTGTATTTTTTCTGAAATAAGTGATTGAGTGGATGAAGTGGCAATATGAATGAAAGGACAACACACATACCTCTGCAGGAACAAATCTCAAAGGGCCCAAATTAAATTTTAACCAGAGATTATGTCTGTCAGGAATCTATATCTCAAAAGAGTTATGTTTGGCTTTTCTAATAATAAAAGGTTATTCTGGAAAAAGGATCCCATTTGAATACATACTGCATTTACTAGGAGGAGATATGGAGTTAGACTTCTATATAGTTCAGCCTTTGAAAGAAAATAAAAGGCAAACAGCTTAACAGATGAGTGATTCCAGAATCTGCAGAAATGTAAACAGCCAGGATTTGGGAGCCTATGGGTTTTATCAAAGATGTAAGTAAGGCTGAGACCAACACCAGTGCGTCCTCTTTGGCTAGTTTTAACACGTTCACAGTCACAATTAACATTCAAGGAATTTCCTTTTCATCCAAGTGTTTCTTTTAAAAGCACTTTATGCCACAACCTAAAATTCTAGCTGCCATCAGTCCTTCCCATACAGAAGAGTGATGAAATCCCCATAATACTCTTTTTCTTCTGTTTTTGAAAATGGGTTCGGACCACGTCAATTTCCCTGGGGCGTTTGTTTTCCAATCTGAGGAAGGGGGTTCTCACCTCCTCCACCCTTTCTTTCTCTAAAACTGCTTGGATTGAAGACCCAGCTTCCTCTTCCCGCGCCTTCCTCCACACTCACCCCAAGCCAGAAGAGCGCCACTGCCAGGCAGGCCACACAAGCCCTTCCCCACCCAGAGTGCTGCTGCCGGGCAGAAGCTCCGGGCCCATCCGCAGCTGGGTTTCAAGTCCCTGAGCTGGCCGGGCCCGGGCTTTCGACAAGAAAGGGAAAAACGTTCGTCTCCCATTCCAGCGCTGCTTCTCCTACACAAGGGATTCGCACACCGGCACCGAGTCCGAGTCCTGGCTGTGCATAGAGCTCAGCCCCGTGTCCGAGTCCTCGTCGTTGCCAGGACAGCTCTTGGCTAGTCCGCGGGCCTGATCCACCCACACCTCAGCGCAGGTCTGAGACTGGGATTCCCGCGAAGTTCCACCAGAGGTGGGGGGCCCGTCAGGCGCTGCCGTCGTCTCCAACGTGTGCAAAGTCTGGAGAAGGCCCTGCAGTTCCCGCTCCTTGCTGTTCCTCTGCTCCTGGCTGTAATCCAAGTCCGATTTGACGGCCTCCAGGTCCGTGTTGAGCCGGAGCCCGATGTAGAGGCTAGTGCTGAGCTGCGTCCTGACCCGCTCCTGCTCCAGCAGCAGCTCGCCGTCGAGGCTGCCATCAGGCTCCGGTGGCTCCTCTCGTGCAGCGAGCTCCTCCTGGCGCCGCCGCATCCATCTCTGGTTCAGCTCCTCCTGAATCTCGGCCGAGAGACGCTCGAGCAACTCCTCTTGCTGGTCTCGCTGCTCCTGCAGCCGCAGCAGGTCGTCGCAGCGCCGGGCCAGCTCCTCCAGCGCCGCCGCCTGCGCCTCGCCGTCCTGGGGCTTCTCTTCGGCCGCCGCCGCCGCCGCCGCGGGCTCCTCTCCTGGGCTGAGCCCATCGAGCTCAATGCCTGCGCCCACCAAGTAAGTGTCCTGCACGTAGTTGACTCCGTGCCGCCGCATGCGGTCCAAGTGCACCTTGGCCTCGTAGCGATCGATCTCGCGGTCCAGCTCCCGGAGCCGCTGCACCTGCTGACGGATGGTGTGGTCCTGGGAGAGCACCAAATGCACCAGCGTCTCCATGCGCTCCACAGACGCGCTCTCTGTGGCTCGCGGCGACGACGAGCTGGACGAGGCGGTGGACGACGAAGTGGACGAACAAGGTGACGACGGCTGCTGCTGGCGTCGCCGGTTGAGCTTGGCCAGCTTGCGGAAGGCCTTGCGCACAACTCGCCGCTGCTTCTCCTGGGTCATGGCCAGGCTGGGCCGCGCCGGGAATCCCCGGGCCGAGCAGGGGCGCTCGCGACTTAGTACCACGCGCGCCTCGGCGCTGCGGGGACCGGTGTTGGGCAGCGACGCCTCGCTGCGCACCAGCACAAAGCGCACATTCTCCTGCTCGTCGCCCCAGGCGGCCCAGAGACGCAAGATGCGCGTCTTGTTGGGCAGGATGCGCTCAAAGCCTCGCCACTTCTCCACAATGCAATAGCACTGCGGTGGCCCGCACAGCAAGCCTGGTGGCAGAGCCTCATCATCGTCCTCGTCGTCCTCGTCCAGGGGTTCCAGCAGCTCCACCGAGCCTGGCGAGTCGCTGGCCGCCCCCCGCCGCCGGCCCCGCCGCTGTCTCCGTCGTCGCCGGCAGCCGTCTTCCAAGAGCACGCGCACCACGTCCGAGCAAGTAGTGCGGCGAGAGAGACCAGATACTAGCTTTTCCTCCTGGCAGATCCACACCGATATCTTCTCTGATGGATCCATGGCGCAACCGGGACGCAGATGGCAAGTCTAGCCGAGCCCCGCTGGAGCAGTGGGGGCAACAAGCAGCCTGGCAGCTCTGAGATAGGATAGAAGCGCGGGACCCGCGCCCTGGTCAGTACGGGCTTTTTCCCCGGGCTGCTTACCGAAGACAAGCGCCGGCGTGGGCCGGAGGGCCTGCGGCTAGGCTCGGCCCGGACGGCGCGCTCTCCCAGTGCAGCGAGCAGGGTTCCGGCTCCTGCCGCTCTGGCTCTGCCGGACGTTCCCGGGACCTCGGGGTTTTGCTCCTCCCCACGTGGCTCCTCCCATTCCCTCCCCTAGCGCCCAGAGCTGCGGCCAGACCGCGGGAGGCGCGGCGCTCAGACCCGCCCCTCCAACCCTGGCCACGCCAGGTGTGCTCCCTCCATCCCCCCGGCAGGGCGGCACGCTGGGGACTTTTAGCCCCTTCCGCAAACTCGCCACTGTTTTGCGCGAGGGTCCAAGGGAGGACACGTAGAACTCTCCACTGGGGAAGCCCTGCCTAGGCGGAGATTAGCTCTGCGTCTTCCCTTGGCCCACTGGCTTCTCTTCGTGCAACTAGAGCTAGTTCGGTGCATATTGACTTTTCCGCGCCCGCACGCCAGGTTCCTCCTGGTCTTTCAAGGCAAAGTCGGCTGGGGAGTGTCCCAAGGGCAAAGAAGAAAAGGAAGACACAGTGTCTCTAACGGAGACGCTAACCTAATTGCGTGACCTCCAGCAGGGAGCTGTAAGTGCTGCTTTTAACGCAAGGCCTTCTAGTCTTCCTTGTCAGAACACAATATTTGCATATTTAAGGAGAACAAGATGGGGCTGTGTGCTTTGTAAGCAAGTGTGGATTCGTAGTCATGTGAAAGACAGGAATATGTCTGAGAAATGCCTACCTGGGCAATTTCATGATTATAGGAACTTCATAGAGTACACTACCCAAACTTAGATTATAGTGTAGCCTACTACACACCTAGGCTGTATGGTATAGCCTATTTATTGATCCTAGACTATAAGCCTATACAACATGTTACAGTACCGAATACTATAGGCAATTGTAACACAATGGTGTTTATGTATCTAAACAGAAAAAGTACAGTAAAAATACAATATAAAAGAATAAAAATGGTGTAGGGCACTTACCATGACTATAGGATGCAGGACTGAAGTTGCTCTGGATTCATAAGTCAGCGAGTGAGTAGTGAGCAAACATGAAGGCCTAGAACATTACTGTTGTCAACAAGTGGTCAGTATCACAAATCCAATTCCAATAGGAGTCCTCAGTCTGGAGTGCAGTAAAAGGAGAAATTTTATGCAGGTAACAGTTTGCAAATGGGGAAAGGCAGCCTCCAGTGGAAACCAAAAATGCATTCCCGCAGCCAAAAGGGAAGCCCGCTTATATAAAGTACCTACGCAGAAAATACCTGATCCCTGATTGGTTCATTTTTATGCAAATGAGAATCCAACTTTGCTCAGTTAGATTGTCCAAATAGCACTGTCCTGATTGCTCAGAATCATGTGTTCTGATCGGTGGTTATTCTGCCACTGTGATTGGTCAGTAAAGATACAAATGCGGATATAGCTGTGCAGTTCTGATTGGACGGAGCAGGCCTCAGCCCATTGGTTGAAAGGTGATTCCAGAAACACCTTTATAAGCGTGGCTCAGGTGACAGAAACACAATGCAGAAAGCTGGCAGTTCAGTCTGTAGCTTTCTCCTGAAATGCAGTGTGCATGAGAGGCCCCTGCTAAATGGATGATAGACTCTGATTATGAATTTTATGGCAATTAAGCACAAGGGGTGCTTCTTGGCAGGTATAGTCCTTGGGGTCAATGCTGTACACTACTATAGCCTTTACAAATGCTGTATACTTAGGCTACACTAAATTTATAAAGAACATGAGATTAAATCAAGTACAAGAGAAAATGATACAATCAAGAGACTCGATAAACACGAGGTATATGATGCTGCTGCTGGTGTGACGTGGCATATTGTTTCACAACAAACTTTTTTATGAGTAGAAAGTACACTAAAATAATGATAAAAAGTATAGTATAATAAATGCATAAACAAATGACAATCGTTTATTATTGTTATCAAGTATTATGTACTATACATAATTATATGTGCTCTTCTTTTATACAACTAACAGCACAGTAGGTTTCTTTATACCAGCGTCACCAGAAAAATGTGGAGTAACAGTTATGATGTCACCAGGTGACAGGAATTTTTCAGCTCCATTATGATCTTATGGGACTACTGTTGTATATGCAGTCCATCGTTAACCGATACATTGGTTATGTAGTGCAATACTGTAAAACGATCTAGTATGGACGGGGGCATTCAGAGGCTGCTCTCAGTTCCCAAAAGAGTCATGTCTGTGGCTCTTTCATCCTTCCACAGCCTTCTTCACAGGGGGACTCCTGATTCTAGTAGACTTCGGGGCCCAGACCCAAGTCATTAGCTTTTTTTTTCACATCCCACCTTCATAAAAGGAAGCGTAGTCATTACCATGATAGTTTCTGGTATTTTCTAGTAACCAGATGTGGTCAAGAAGAGATAGGAGGCAAGTTTCACAGCTCAAGAAAACCAAGAGTACAATGCAAATTAGCTTTTTTCATTTTCAGTTGCTGCCACTGATGGTTCCTTGTAGGCAAGGTTCTCCTTCAGCTTATCTCTATGAGTACAGGTCTGATAACGTCACTCCTTTGCTTCAAGAACTTGGATGGCTCCTGTTTGCCTCCTGAATAAAGTACTTTTATTTGTTCACTCATTCATTTGGTAAATATTTATTGAGTACTTCTGTGCTCCAGGTACTGTGCTGGGGAATTGATGATGAACAAATCAGTCCTGGCCTATGAGGAGCTCACAGTCTAGTGGAGAGAGTAGCTGAGTAAATATTTCCAACACAGTCTTCTGTGATATGATAAGGGAGAGCTTGAGGTGCTAGGGGATTGCTGGAGTAGCATCCTACCCAGTCTGGGAGAGTCAAGGAAGGCCTCCCTGGGGAGGTGGAGCCTTAGGCAAGACCAGAAGCACCATCTGAATCTGCCAAAGGGAAAACAGATGGAGGGGAGGAGGCAGGCAGTGTTCCAGGCAGAAGGAACCACAGGTGCAAAGTCTAAGAACGACAAGAGCATGGCAGTTACTGGAGTTGCAAGGAGTTTAAGTGAGAGGAGTATCTAAGAATGAGGTTGGATGAGTAAGGAAGCAGCAGCTGGGTCAGAAAAGACTTTTAATTCTGTGTGTCGATATTCGGATCTATACTAAGGGCAATGAAAAGCCATAGAATGTGGATTCTGAGGTCAGACTGGATTAAAGGGGTCTTTGTACCTCCCTAGCATGGTGTGTGTGGGGACTCTCATAATCTGCCCCAGCCCACTTCCCCAGCTCCTCCCTCCTATGCTTGGATATCCCTTTCTCCTTCCCCTCACACACACACATAATTGTTAGAGCTTTGTCATCAGCTGTCATCCATCCCTATTGGATTTTAAGTTCCATGAAGGTAGGGATCATATCTGTTTTGCTCACTTTTGAACCCTTTACATTTAGCACAATGCCATGCATATTCTAGGTTTACTTAGTGTCTGTTGAATAAATAAATGGATGAATGAATGAATCCTACATGATAGCAGATCAACACATCACTCATCCAGAACGGCACCTACAACTTGATGCATCATTCTTTGTACATGCTTTTCCTACTAATTTCCCTCTTAAACAACCAGAAAACTAGTCATTTTTCAGAAGCTCAGCTCAAAGATTACATGCTCTGGGGAATCCTTTCTTCCCTTCTCCAAGAACTGGTTTCTTGCTCTTCTTCTGCCTCTCTTAATGCAGAAGTTTCATTACACTGTGATGCATTTTTAAATGTCTGTTTATTCTACAAGACTTAGCTTTTCTAGAGAGCGAATTGACTATCTTATTTATATTTTGGTACCCAGTGCCTAGAGAGTGTCTAGTATCTAGTAGGCCTTTGATCTTCCTCTAAGATATTGTACTTCGCTCAAGGTTATTGTAATTTTTTTTCTAGTGGCAGACAGATATGTGGAATGATATATATGAAATTCATGCTGGGGTAATTAAAGGGTAGAGTGATCAAGGGGTTCTGAGAAGGCTGAAGAAGTGGGGCTTTAATACAGGGAGCGAAGGAGTTCAGGACATACAGGGTAGGAGAAATTACACACATTAAAATGTTAAGGTGAGTATGCACATGGTCATGTACCAGTGTTTTAGAGTGCAAGTTCTGGGTTCACCTTGCCTATATTTGAATACCAACTAAGCTTTCTAGGCTTTAATTTTGTCATCTGGGAAAAAAGAGAGAATAATAGAATTTTCCTTATAGAGTTGCTATGAATATGAAATGAAATAATGTACTACACATAAAAGATTTAGCACAGTGTCTGGCATATAACAAATGCTCAATAAAACATAGCTAGCTTTATCCATGAACTTTATTGAGTGCCTACTCCATGCTGTGACCTGGGCTAGGCATTGAGGATATAGCAGTGAACTAGACAGACTTGGTCCCTGCCCTTACAGAGCTTGCAGTCAGGACTAGTTTGGTATGTGTTTGATTAGAAATGTATTTGTTAGATTAGGCTAGGTTACAATAACAAACAGAGCCAAACATATATAATGGCTCAAATATAACAAAGGTTTATTTTTACTCACATAATAGTCAAAAGCAGTATCCTGTTTGGTAGATGGCTTTATTCCAGATGATAATACAGAAACCATGGTTCCCTCCATCATGTGGCTCCAGAATCTCTTAGACTTCATCATCTACATCCAGTCAGAGGCAAAAAAGAGGAGGAAAGGACACATCCTCTTCTTAAAAGCCTTGGCTGGGAAATGGAGCATACCACTTCTCACGTCCCGCTGGCTAGAACCCAGTCATATGGCCACTTGTAATGGTAAGGGGATTTCCATAGAAACTTTATAAGAAATAGGAGATGAGGCAGAGAGAGAAGTTCCAAAAGTCTATCGGTTGCAAAAAGGTGGCCCGAAGGCCAATTCAGGCTGTCTTTGACAGAGCACACCTTTTCCAAGTAGCCATGAACCCAACACCCTCTGTGTCTTATATATGACCCAATTCACATAAATTCACAACACCGCCTGACCACTGTAAACATTTGAGTTTGTGACTTGCTTCTACATAGCCTCCCAGGATTATCCCATTCACTACCAGGGATTTAATACTATTGATATT